CGGGGGGGGCAAGGGTGCAGGCACAGGCGGCTGACGGGGCTGCCTTGCAGAACGTGGGCTGCGACTACGAGATTGACTCCAACGCGGTGGAGGACCGGTGCGGCGTCTGCCACGGGGACGGCTCCACCTGCCACACCGTCAAGAAGACCTTCGAGGACAGCGAGGGGCTGGGTAAGGGCGCTCAGCTCCGTCCCCAAAACGCCAGGGACCTGGTCCACTCGGAGCCGGGCTCGCTGCTGCTGCTCGTTTGCGGTGTGGTTTTTAATCATGACTTGTCGATTTGGATGGGATAAGGTCCGAGCGGCAGCATGGGGAGACGTGGCGTTGCCGTTCCACTTCTTACGCCTCGGAAGAAAAATATCCCCTTACTGCTCACAAAGAGCCTGAAAACAAATCTATGCCTGCTGGAGCCAGTTTGGAGAGGTTTAAGGGGATTTTTATGGGTTGACAAGGACACGTTGAAAGGGCGGTAAATGCCGTGCCAGCACCCGTGTGGGAGATGTCAGCTGGGAGAGTTGGGGGGTTCAGCCTGGAGAGGAGAAGGCCAAAAAGGGGAGAGCTCAGAGCCCCTTCCAGTGCCTAAAGGGGCTCCAGGAGAGCTGGGGAGGGACTTTTTCCAAGGGCATGGAGTGATGGGACGAGGGGGAATGGCTTCAGACGGGCAGAGGGCAGATTGGGATGAGATGAGATGTGAGGAAGAACTGTCTCCCTGTGCGGGCGGTGAGCCCCTGGGGCAGGTTGCCCCGAGAAGCTGTGGCTGCCCCATCCCTGGAGGTGGTCAAGGCCAGGTTGGACGGGGCTTGGAGCAACCTGGGCTGGGGGGAGGTGGCCCTGCCCAGGGCAGGGGGGCTGGAATGAGATGATCTTCAAGGTCCTTTCCAACCTAAACTATTCTATGATTCTATGTCATGCTCAGCGATGGGCTCTCCCAGCAGGGAACGCAGCTGGGCCCAGTGCCATGTGGGGTTTGGTACCCACTGGTGCCTTACAGCGGTGTAAGGATTGGCATGATGCGGGCCCCTGAGGGACACTGGCACCCACCTGAGGGCACAGATCATCTCTGCCCCATCTTTGAATCCCCCAATGCCAATGCTCGGTTCCATCCCCAGGTTACGTTGATATTGGGATTATCCCTGTGGGAGCACGCGAGATCCGGATTGAAGAAGTCGCAGAAGCTGGGAATTTCCTGGCGCTGCGGAGTGAGGACCCGGAGAAGTATTTCCTCAACGGCGGATGGACCATCCAGTGGAATGGGGACTACAGGGTGGCGGGGACCACCTTCACCTACAAGAGGACAGGGAACTGGGAGAACCTCACCTCCCCAGGGCCCACCGTGGAGCCGGTGTGGATCCAGGTATGGTCCGGGATCTTCTGGTGGTGGGAGTGTGTGGCGGGGACGTTGCTGCCAGATCTCCTGCCTTCCCGTGCAGGGCTGATCTGCCATGGTCCGTCACGGCACTTCCCTGCCTTCCGAGGGATGGGGCTGTGCATCTCCTCACTGAGCGTGTTTCTCCGGGACCCAACGTGGGGAGCAGCCGAGCACGCGCTGCCGGCACAGGGAGCGTTTCCAGCCCGCGCCGCTTCCAGCTGAGCCCCATCCCCTTTGCAGCATTCCTCGCAATATTTGCACAGCAGAGAGAGCATGAGGAGAAAGAGTGCGTTTCCTGAGGCCTTTCCCATATCTTATCAAGAGCGGGGGAAGAGCCCGCCGTGCTTCTGGCAGGGCTGGAGCAGCCGGCGGAGGCGGTGGGAGCTGTGGCGGTGCCGTGTGCGGTGGCAGAGGGTGGACCACTCGGCAGTGCCGCGCTCCCGCCGGTTCCGTGTCCCCCTCCGCACCGCCTGACGCCGTGGTGAGGAGCTCAGAGCCCGGGGTCCTGCTCCTTGGTCCAAACCCCGGGCCATACTGCCCGGGGCGCTGCAGGTCAGGCTCAGCTTCCTCGCAAAACCCCTTGAGGCAGAAGGTAAAAATCTGAAAGGAACATTTGAAATCCTCTGAAACATCTAGAAATTCCAAGTTTTACTCTTTTTTTTTTTTTTTTGGCATGTGGGAATTTCCATAAAGCTACTTCCCTCCCCAGAATAAGTCGTTATGGTTCATCAGCCCCCCGAGGCTCTGAGGAGGTGAGCCCCATTGGGGGTGCCTGGGGTGAGCCGTGGCTCTGCGGGAAGGGGAGAGCACCCGGGACCTGCCGCTCTGCCTGCCCGGGTCTGGGCAGAAGAGGGTAAAGAAAAAAAAAAAAAAAAAAAAAATAAAAATCATTGCAGCAGTGAGTTTCCAGGATGGCAGAGTTGCAGAGAGGAGGAGAGCATCTGCCCGTTTCTTCCTCCCATCAGGGGTTGCCTTTGCGAAGGGCAGACCCTGGGGGAGCAAATAATGAACACAAAGCTGTCAGGAGACACTCGGAGAAGCCGGTGGGGATTGTCCCCCAGACGATGGCACGGGTTGAAATTCTTTGTGGTGCAAAGTGTGTCGTAGAGGCAGTGACCGTGGAGGTATGTCCCAGAGACCCCCAGGACCGCCCCGGCAATCCTGGCTCAGCCCAGTGCGCTCTTCCCGAGCATCGGCCCCGCTGCGGCGTGGCGCTGGAGCCCGGCCATGCCGAGCAGCCAAAGTCTGCGCCTTCTGCCTTTCTTTCAGCAGAGGCTCAGGATGAAATGCGAGCGGGATCCTGGGCTCGTCTGCTGCCAAGCGCTGCTGTTAACGGGAACGCTGGCGTGCTCGGCACCCGCAAATCATTTTCTGGGATTCGTAACCTAATTAAAACCTCTCGACAAAAACGTTTCAATATTCACGAAGGGGTTTTGGAAAGACGCCCTCGCTCCCGCTCCCGCCAAAGCTCCAAGAACAACAAAGCTCTGGCAATAATGGGAGCACTTAGGCTAAGAAAAACAAGGTTAAACTCCCGGCCTGTGCCGAGGGCTGGTGCGGGAGGTGCTTCGGGCAGGATTTGTGTCAGCCGCAAACTGTCCTTTACACACAAACACCTAAAAGGGTGAAATTGCTGTTGTTCTACACTAACTTAGGGAAAGCTGAAGGCTGATTTTTGACTAAGAAAAAACTTAAAATCTTACATTTGAGTGTCTGATTGACCATTAATAGAAAGCATTCAGACCTGAATGCAAGCTTTCTTGGTCACAATTTGGTTCTATATGTGTATTTTTAAAGCCAGCTTGGATGAATAATAATGATAATAAACTTAACATTTAACACCTTTTTGATAAGTAGTGGAAATCACTTGACAAAAGAAGGATGTTTCTCATTTATGACCAGGAAACTGAGAAGGAAACCATTCCTTCTAGTTCCCTGCAGGCAATATGGAGAGCGGTGACAGGAAGAGTGGTGGAGAGAGGCAGAGGTGGCTCAGTGTGCTCCCGACCGGCGGGAGCGCCGTTCCTGCCCTGCGTGTTGCAGACCCCAGGCTGGGCTGGGGCCGGTGGTGGCACATGCAGAACCTCCTCCCCAGCGCCGACTGCGGGGAAGGGGACATCTGCCCGTCCTGGGCCCTTCACCACGCCGAACCTTGAGGAGGTCCTCAGATGGGGCTGTGTTTGGCAGTGGGACTGAACAGGATTAACAGGGGAATCCTTCCGGGCTCTTCATCAGGGGAGACACAAAACAAAGTCCTGGTGGTTCTCAGTGCTCTCACTGTTATTGTTTCTTGTTACCTGACATTTCCACAAGCCCAACGCTCTGAGCGGGGGCAGCAGTGGCAGCTCCTCTGCTCCTACACTGCTTCAGACGTTTGCTAACCCCGTTTACGAAATGGTCATCTGCTGCTGGGGTACAGGTAGTGCAGCCCTGGTACAGAGCCGGATGGAGAATGGCATCTTTATGGCTGTGCGAGGCAGGCTGTTATCTCCTGAAAAGCCCTTGGGGTGCAGTGGCCAGCCCCAACTGCTCTGCAGTAGCCACCTCCCTGGCCGCCTGTTGTCTCCCCACAGCTGCTGTTCCAGGAGACCAACCCCGGCGTGCGGTACCAGTACACCATCCAGCGCCCGGCCGACAGCGAGAACGAGATCGAGCAGACGGAGTTCCTCTGGCGCTTCGGCTCCTGGACCACGTGCACCGCCACGTGCGGGACCGGTGAGTCCGTCTCCCGCGGGACCCCCTGGGCTCGGCTGCCTGCGGTGGAGGAGCGGAGCGGGCAGAGCATCCCCGTACCGTGGGGATGCCTTGGAAATCTCTGTGCCTTTGGTTTCAGGAGGTCTTGGGGGAGGGGAAAAAAAGCGACATCTGCTAAGGTCACCACTCTCTGATGCCCCACCATGCTCACCCGCCAGACCCTGTGCTTTATCAGCATTTTGCTCCTTGCTCGGTGTCCTGTTACTGCGCAGGGCGTCAGGGCGGCGGAGACAAAAGAGCTTTAGAGAAATCCAGGGGGTGTGGAGGGGCCGGTCCCCCGCCTGGCTGGGCCTCCCCAGGGGGGATCGTTCCGAGGGTTTTATGGAGAGCACATGGGAGGGTGCCCAGCGTGGGCAGAGCTCCCGGGTCCCGCACTGCCCCGCGGTGTCGGACACTTGCATCCCCCCTCCCGCCCCACCGCTCCACCAGCCCTGTGTCTGGGGACAGCTTTTGGGGCAGCTGATGGAGGGGACGGTCCGGGCACACTGCAAGGGGGGAGGCTGGGACCAGCGAGTGCTTCCTTGAGAGCCAGTGCGGAAAAGGGATTTGAAGGACACTTATACTTTCTAGGTAGCAGAGAGCGCCAGGAGATGTTTCCTGCCCGTTCCCGAGAGATAGGTGTGGATCCCTGCTCACAGCAGGAGCGTTGTGGTGCAGCGGGAGCTGGCGAGGCGTTTTCCATACGTTTATGCTGAGAGCTCTTTGCTGTGGGTTTGCGTGGGCCCTGCAGCGCGGGGAGTTGAGGAGGACGGGAGCTGAGGGCGCTTGCTTTTGTTTAAAAGCAGCTTGCCTTTGCAAGGTTTGAGTGCTTGGCTTCCAGAACAGAAGGGAAATACCGGAGCAAATCGGGCAGGAGTCGGGTGAGGATGCTCACCCTGTCCAGCCCCAGGAGAGCAGCCGGAGGAGGGCTGAGCCCCTCTCCCTGGGCTGGATGACGGTGTGAGCTGAGACGTGGATTTGGGAGAGCTCGGGCTGAGCCTCTTCTGCGGGGTCCAGCCCCGCAAGCTCCCAAGCGCTTGAGCTGGAGCACAGCTCAGCAGCTGCAGCAGGGTCTTATCAATCTCAGCTGGTGGCAGTGGTTATTATTTACAGCTCTCCCAAGTCACGGGTCAAGTACGTGTTGCAGAAAGGAGGACAAAAGCAGGCAGGGAGGCAGCGTGCTGAGGATGAGGTCATCCTGAAAAATGTCGTCCCGTGAGTGCTGCAGACCGGGGGCAGGAGGCTTCGGCGGGTGATTTATCCGTGAGCTGCGGCTGGGGCAGAAGGCTGCCAAAAAAGCTGTGCGGCTGTCAGTGCTGCTGTCGGTTGCCTCCCCAAAAGCCTCAGTGTATGTCTGTGCATACGTACACACACGTGCTGCGACGGCTGGATGTGGCTCTGGGCGGTGGTGCCAGGACGGTGCCCCCCCCAGGCTGCAGCATCGCCGCCGTTCCCTGTCCTGTGCTCCTCCACATGACTTCGGCAGCCCCAAATAGATGGTGCATCCTGCACCGTGGCTGCAGAGGCTTTTCGCAAGGGGAGCGGTGGGGAAAGGCTTTCCCCCCTGGCCAAGAGGTCCCTCCAGCAGTGGGGTGTCTCCTGCAGAGCCTCCACTGGCTGCATCGCTACTAAATCCCATCAGGCAGCTGATGATTCCTTCGTCTCACTGTTGACTGTAAAAACTGTAGGATAGGAAAGGTTTTATTCCAGCAATTTCTGCTCAGCAGCTCACCCAGCAATGCCCCTTGCGTTGCCTGTGACCAAAGGACACAGCCGGAGGCCACCAGGACCGAGCTGGGGTCGCTGCAGAAATCTGAGAGTGGGAGCCGGCAGCAGGGTGGAGATGTTCCTGCTTTTAACCCGTCTTGTCCCTGTGTCCTGCTTGGAACAGAGACAAAGCACTGGGAGGGTGAGCAGAGACATCCCATGGAGTTTGTGAGGTTGAAGAAAGCCATCTCTCTGAGTTTGGGGTCTGCCGACGGTTCTGGACACAGTTGTCCTCACCTTGCCTTCTGTGTAAACTCTTGCCATTCCTTAGGTATTTCCTGACATCTCTAAGCCCCAAAAGAACAGATATAATCTGGCAGCTTTTTTCTAAGGGAGAACAAGATTTGTCAACTGTTTCTGTGATCTGTTTTTAGCTTTCCACGTGAGCAGCCCTGGACTCGGTCTGAGGGCAGGAGCTGAGGTTTGCCTTGTGCTGGACAGGCAGACACCGTGTCCCACCAGCCCAAGGGAGAGGCTTTGGTTATGGTCTGCTGCTTGTAATGCCTGGGAGCCCATGTCCTGACTGGACTGGAATTGCTTCCACCCACCCATCCCTCCCTCCCTCCCTAGCTGTCCCTGCTTTGCAGCTGCGTATCCAGGGTCATTTTCCAGCCCAGTGAGCTCCGTAGGTCTCACCACACACGTGTCGGATTGACACCAGCTGTCCAGCTCTGCGTTTCCCACCCAGGTACACTGGGAGCACTGGGGCCGTTGGGCTCCGTGAGGGAACCAGTACCTCAGCAGACACGGGCTCTCGACTTCCAGTTTCGGTGGTAGTTTCATTTTCTTTCCCCTGTTTTTGGTGGCTCAAGCTTGCCCGAGGGCCTCCTCTCGCCTGCTGGCAGAGGGTGCTGGGTGGTTCGGCACGATTTCCGTCTGGAGCCCAGCCCTCGCCTGTGTCCGCAGGGGTGCAGCGGCAGATCGTGCACTGTGTGGAGAAGCTGGCCGGCATCGTGGAGGAGCGGTACTGCGACGCGCTTACCCGCCCCGACGACCAGCAGAGGAAGAGCAGCGAGGAGCCCTGTCCCGCCAGGTCTGCCGGCTTTGCCCTTCGCCTCCCCTCACCAGAGCTGTGATCTCCAAACTGCCCTAAGGGATGAGCAGGACTGGGGGGGACCCTGGTCACTGCCATGCCCGGGTTGCACCAGGATGTGCGCAGCTGTCTGCACCCCTGGTTTTGCACCTCTTCTTTCCCTCGCGCTTGAGAATGGGTCCCAGACCCTGCGCTGGTCCATGGAAACAAATCCCAGTGGTTGCCCGGCCACTGCAGTGTGTTACTTGTCCATAGACCACGAGCTGCACAGGAAGGCACCACGCTGGCAGGGCCGGCAGCCCCTAGAATCATAGAATCGTCTGGGTTGGAAGGGACTTTTAAGACCATCAAGTCCAACCGTCAACCCAGCGCTGCCAAACCCACCACTAACCACATCCCTCAGCACCACGTCTGCCCGTCTTTTAAACACCTCCAGGGATGGCGACTCCACCACCTCCCCGGGCAGCCTGTGCCAGGGCTTGACAACCCTTTCAGTGGAGAACTTTTTCCTAATCTCCAATCCCTCTCTGCCTCTGAGCAAATAACCATCCCTGGCACAACACGGGGACTGATCCACCCCTGACCCTCAATCCAGGGCTGAAACACAACCCGCAGCTGGGATCCAAACTCCCCCGGGCCCCGCTGATCGTTACAGGCCACCAAAGCCCACGTGCATCTCGTGTACATCTCCTGTCCCCAAACCCCTCCGGGCTGGTGCTGGCTAAAACCCACCGCCCCGCAGTGCTCGGCGTGGTGGGACACGGGACGGGGCCTGGCTGGGAGCTGAGACATTTCCCCTTCCACGTTTACCCAGGTGGTGGGTCGGCGAGTGGCAGAAATGCTCGTCCACCTGCGGCCGCTCGGGGCTGATGAAGAGGACGGTGCTGTGCATCCAGAGCGTGGGGCTGGACGAGCAGAGGGCCTTGCAGCACGCGGACTGCCAGCACCTCTCCAAGCCAGAGGCCACGGCGCCCTGTCACCGGGAGGTCCCCTGTCCCTCCCAGTGGGCCGTGGGGAACTGGTCTGAGGTGAGGAGGGTCGGGGAGGTCCCGCAAAGCTGGCGGGAGCTGGGGACTGAGTGCCCCCGGGACGTCCGCAGCCTGCCCAAGGGCGATGGGCGTGCTCCTGCTTGCCGGGAGAAGCCATGGATGTTTTTCTGGGGGCTCACGTTGGAACACCAGCTCAGACGGATGGGGACTTTGTGGCACGGGGAGGTCTGAGAGTGAGGAAGGAGCACGGAGCTGTTTGACTCTGCCCCATCCTCTCTGAAGGGTGCTCCGTGCTTGATTGCAAGGAGGGAACAAACAAGAGGGTTTCAACCCTTCAGTGTATTTTCCAGCACCGCGAACCTTCCCCTTTGTTTTGGCAGAAGCTTTAGAGATAATTCTTGCCTGCTGAGGGGCGAACTGGGGTCTGGGTGCCCCCGACATGTGCGTGCTGGCCGGTGGGTATCTGCTTCCCGGCAGCATGACCTGGCGTGGGGCAAAGCTGCCCCATCTCTGCTGCGGGGGGGGCAGAGACAGAGACCCCCTCAGTGATGCGCCCGGGGAATGCGGGAGCCAGCACAAATTTTTCAGCATTTTTTTTTTAAGAGAAGGAGAGATCAAAAAAACCCACAACCCCATGTATAAAGTGCCGTGGTCTGCAGGCACCCTGTGTAGCCTGTATTTATTTTTGTATTGCAGTGGATCAGCTTAACCACAGGTTGAGGGTTTTAACCAGAGAATTATAACTCCTAGTTTAAGCAGTGGTTTCAAAAAGCGTTCAGTGTGAAGACAAGTATCCAGAGAGAAATGAGAGAGCCTGGGAACTGGATTGTTGCTAAGAAACAAATGGAATAGAAATGCGAGCAGAACATTTGAAGGCTAAATGAGGGCTATTTAGAAATATTTTGCTAGGGGCCCACAAAAGCCACAATTGCAGGGCTGAGAAAGGAGGCTGCAACAGTTCAAAGGAAAAATCCCGCCTTGCCCGTGGGTCTGTGCCGTGCACGGAGCCAGCACGAGCCGTCGCAGTCATCCTCTGTGGTGTTGACATCGATGGATCTGTGAGCCCAGGAAAAATGTGCTTGAGATTTTGAGTTGTCTGTAATTTTTCTGCTCTCCTTTCGCTTAAAGCGAGAGCCCTCTTCCTGCTCTGTTTCCACCACCACCAGTAAGTAGAGAAATTTGAGGGGCTCAGAAGCTTTCCAGAAACGTGGTCCTTCTGTCCAGTGATAACAACAGGGGGGTGTTGCTTTTTTTTTGTGCTTGCGGACCCTCGGGCAGGGCAGCACCTACGCCTCTCTGGCACTGGCAGCACCGGGGCAGCCCGCAAAGCCGAAGGGGTTATTTGCCGTTTGGATAGCCCAACACAGTGCTTAAACACTGGGACTTGATGCCTTCAGAAGGACCCTAAAGCAGTGTCCAGCTCTATGGACTTTCCAAAGGAGTTATCGGTGTGCTCGGCAGTATTATTTGTTGTCCATTAGTACGTGAGGGTCTGCGTACGGGTCTATGCGTGTCCCACCGTGCAGCCTGCCGTGATGCCTCCTGCCGTCGTGTGCCGATGCTGAACCCTCCTGCAAGCTCCGGGTCTTCCTCCGTGAGGCTCCTAACAGCCGTCATTTCTTGTCTGTGTGCCAGAGGCTTTCCTGATAACCGAGCCTTGGCGAATAAGCCCCCTTCTTCCCCCTGCAAGAGCTGAGCACCTGGAATTTGTCTCCTGGATGGAGCGGGAGGCATTTGCTGAGAAATTTTAGCTTAAGGCGCATGTGGTGGGAGTTGACCTCTGTTTTCCCTCATTTGGCAGTGCCATCCCCGTAGGGAGAAGCAGCTTGCTTGCACCCCTCCCGCAGGTGTTAATGTGCAGTAATGTTTTATTTCAGCAACATTGTGTAGCTGCTGGAAATGCCCAGCGGTGGCCATGCGATGTTATGGACTGTCCCTCCTGCCGGACACAGTCCTCAGGGTCCCTTCTGCTCCTACCCGGCATTGCCCAGGAGATACGGGGCTGGGGAGGCACCGGCCGGCACGGCGCAGCGTGGCACGGGGAGGAGACGTCCCATGGGGTGGGCACCCACCCGGGAGCCCACCAGGACCAGCGCGGGGAGCGGGGCAAGTCCCGATGAGGCACCTGACCCTCGTAAGGACCGAGCAGAGATGAGAAAAGCTCAAAATACAGGAGTATATGTTGTCTGAGGAGCGCATCTCCCGGCCAGCCCAGCCCAGCAGCTCTGCCTGTCCACCTTTACCTCTTAACTTCTACGTGCTGGGGGCTGTGCATCAAACCCTCGCCTCAGCCCGTCTGTTTTCATCCAAACACCAGAAATCCCCTCCGTTGGGTTTGTTTGCCTCGTTGACCGTTTGTTCGTGTTGGCTGGGTTATGTGAGGCACTTTGATGTACGTGAGTAATGCTCTGTGCATCTGTCACCGCAAACTGCAGCGGCCTGTGGCTCGTGCAGCCCACATGTGGTGTTCATAGGGCTGTGATTTACTTACCCAGCAGAAAATGTTGCTGCCCTTCTTTCCAGCTTGTGGGTTTCTTTTATACTGAACCATCTCAAAGAGACCATTGTGGTGGAGGAGGGGGTGTCCTCAACAAAGCTGCTTATTGACCCTTGCTTTTTCCCTACTGCGACAACACCCATGTTGTTATCCCCTGCTTCAAAAAATTCTCTTCCAGAAGAAGAGATGCAATTCATGGCGATAGGTCAGAGAAAAGACCTATTAGATCATCTTACCCAGTGCCCTTCACAATGTCCATCTCCTGGGAAAATTGTTTCTGGCTGGAGTGCAGGTCAAGGATCACCCTGAGCAAAGTCCCCTGCAATACCAACCCTGCCCTGGGACGGTCTCTAACGGGGAGACGGTCCCAGCGGTAGATTTGGCCAGTAACATCACTGCTTACCGGTGTGACCAGCACCCCCTGCTTCTCACTCCTGGTACAGGGGACCCCATGCCCCAGCTGGAACTGGCACAGGAGACGTCTCGGGACCCAGTGGGTGGTGGGAGCATGGCAGAGTGACGTGGAGCCCCTTTGCCCCGTGCCCAAAGCATCACGGTGCATGGGACAGTTGAGCACCCGCTTCAGTATCTTGGAGGGGAGCGCCAGCGAGGTGGACGGGTTGCAGTGCCGCTGCCGGCCCCTTCCCCGCTCCTCTGCTGCACCCTGCATCGCCCGCGCTCCTGTCCCTCATGTGTGCGTCTCTCTCCCTTTCCCAGTGCTCCGCGACGTGTGGAAACGGGACACAGAGGCGCCCTGTTTACTGCAGCAACAGCACTGGAGCCGCTTGTGACCCTGCAGAAAGACCCAGCTCGGAAACTATTTGCTCTTTGCCGCAGTGCCAGAAGAAATTAGACAGTGCCAATATGGACTGGTCTGGCAGCGGGTCCTCCAGTAGAGAAATATTTAATGAAATCCATTATATCCCCAGCAACAGCATTCCTAAATTTAACCCCTTAATTCCAAATATTCCAGAATCCAATGATGTCAATATCATCACTGAGGAGGACTTCTCAGCCAGAAAGGGAAATGTCTTTGTTGACGATTTTTACTATGATTATAATTTTATCAACTTCCATGAGGATCTGTCGTACTATCCCTTCACGGAGAAGGAGACCAAAGGCGAGGAGCCTAAGCCAGAGCTGAGCATCAACGATGTGGAGGGGTCACACGAGATGTCCACTGATGTCCTGCACACTGCCAAGCCGGGAGGAGGAGCAAGTGAGGACCATCTGGTGACCAGCAAAGCAGAGACTTCTGCTCCTGTGCATGGTGAAGGAGAGACGGAGCCTGGGGGTTTAGCCATGAATGACCTCCTGAGTGTGGTCCCTGAGGACGCAGGGACAGCCGCTCCCAAATATGCCATCCCTGACTTCATGGGTGAGATGGAGGATGCAACGCTTGTGCCCCGCTCCGAGAACCACCTGCCCACCATGAGCTGGGACTCTGCGAACAGCCACGACCACCCGCCCCCGGATGAGCCCTGGGGAGCCATGCCGACGAGGGCCGCTCCTGGGCAGGATGCTCCAGCCCATGGCCCCGCTCCCTGGGCTCCTTACCCGGCCGATCCCTCCCCACCGCTGCCGGCTGGCAGGGGCAGCGCCGGCGCAGACCCGTCCGACAGCCTGGGAGAGCCGGGGAGCAGCAGCGAGGGGCGTGCGAGCACAGAGGGGCCGAGTAACGCCGGCAGTGAGGAGCAGGACGTGGCCGGCTCTGCGGGGAGAGGCCATGAAGACTCAAGGGAAATGGGGCTTGTCATCGCTGGTGATGCTAACGGTGCTGCCAACGGTGCTGCCCCCGAGAGCAAGGAGCAGGAAGGGTGGGCAGAAATGCCGGAGGGGATGGCGGGCACACATGCCGCAATGGTGGCCGAGGAGCAAGCCCGTGGGACGGAGAGGACAGATCTTTCCTTCCCCACCCCTCAGGGACCGGGGCGGGAGATGGGAAGCAGTGCTGGCAACACCCGTCCCGCCGCG